CAGCACCACGCCCGGCCGCCTTTGTCTCCCCAGTGGCGGCGATGTTTACACACCGCGCCAGGTAACTCATTTGAGGCTGAGTTCACCTAGGGGAGGCCCAGCACCGGTTCAGATAATCGCCAATGGGGTTGTTGGCCCTGAACTGGAATCGAACTCATGTGGTCGGTATTCGTAGAGCAGCTACGCACACTACAATCACGCACGCCATCGTCACCATAACCGCAACCTGCAGTACACCCACAGTACACCTATAGTGAACCTACAGTACACCAAGAGTACACCTATAGTGCAGTCACAGTAGACCTGGAGTACACCTGACACCTGGACACTCACGTAAACGCGTTACAATCTCCATTCCGCACGCACCCACACTCACTCACTCGCCACGCGCACCATCGCCACCACCAGCACGGACCCATACAAACATCATCCTCCGTCGCATCTCTGCTTTTCCACTTAAGACCTCTTTCCGGAAAATGAACCCAGTTACCCGCTTTGACACAATGTGCTGTGTGTGCGCGTGCGTGCGTGCGTGAGCGCGTGCGTCACTATGTAAGACATAGACACGGTCTTATCAGCCGGTTCGAGAACTTCAGCGTTTGTGCACGTACACCGCACTGCCTTCGGTGTGGTCATCCGGCGCACCATCGGAACAGCAATCAGCAGGTCGACGGTGCGCACAGCTCCGTCGCGAATGGGAAAACGTAAAGACAAGCGCCGCCACAGCAGTGCGATTGTGGCCACGCAACCCAAACTACTACGGACCCCGGATCGCCTCGGCGCTCCTTCGACGGACGCAGAGGAACGGCAAATCGACACCGACTCTCTGCCGAAACCCTCTCGCGGCAAGCAATAACCTTGACATTGGCATTGAGCTTCTGAACACATTGCCATCGTACGCGTGAATATTGCTGCACTGCCCCTACGGTATACAGAATCGTGGCCCAATTTTAGAAGTATTACGGAATATATTTGTTACACATAGCAGTGGGTAAACTATATGCCACGGTTATGTAATTGATTAGAGAGGCGCAGCGGTTTGCGCATTGTCGATGTCGCATGAGTTTGACTCTCGGTCACGGACAACATCAGTGACGGCGGGTGATGTCTGATTCGGTTCCCTGGCCCCGCCATCGGCGTGACAGCGTGTGCTTAAGCATGGCCAGCACCGCCCCTGTGAGCCTGCACCACAGCGTGAGTAGGGCCCACTGCCACCCAGCACAGCCCCTGTGAGCCTACACCACGTGAGTAGGGCCCTCTGTCACCCAGCACAGCCCCTGTGAGCCTACACGGCGTGAGTAGGGTCCACTGTCACCCAGCACAGCCCCTGTGAGCCTACACCACGGCGTGAGTAGGGTCCACTGTCACCCAGCACAGCCCCTGTGAGCCTACACCACGGCGTGAGTAGGGCCACTGTCACCCACCACAGCCCCTGTGAGCCTACACCACGTGAGTAGGGCCCACTGTCACCCAGCACCGTCCCTGTGAGCCTACACGGCGTGAGTAGGGCCCACTGCCACCCAGCACCGTCCCTGTGAGCCTACACGGCGTGAGTAGGGCCCACTGCCACCCAGCACCGCCCCTGTGAGCCTACACCACGGCGTGAGTAGGGCCCACTGCCACCCGGCACAGCCCCTGTGAGACTACACCACGGCGTGAGTAGGGCCCACTGCCACCCAGCAGTGGATTGACAAAGCCGTGCAAGTGACCACATCTCTTCAAATGTTGTCTGTGTGGCCTTTTTTTTGGGGGGGGGGGGGGTGGGTTTGAGTGTCGTGAAATAAAAACATTCACATCAACTACAGGACCACGAATGATATTGGTAATGTGTCGGTCCTTTAGAAATTCGCCGGTCGAAAGTCTCCTCTCAACCTGTTGATCGTTTGGGGGGGGGGGGGGGGTAACCATACTTCACAATGATTCGTGAGCGTTCGTGCAGGGGATGGATGGGCCCAGAGCCGATTTGAATGTCACTCGCCACTGACGTGAGCCGCATAGGCATGCAACCAAAACCTGGTCGACGGGGGGGCATTGTATTCGAGTGGTGCGTTAACCACTACGCTACCGCTGCCCACCAATCGCGTACACCTGTACATTACTCGGACCCTACAACAACAACGATCACTCTCATTGAAATAAAACAGGCATTCGCAGACAAAAGGATATAGACAAGGTTTAAATTTTTATTATTTGTTAAATTTCACCCCATAGCCTAAATACCATGAGCAGCACAATACATTTCAACACATTTAACTGTAGTTACACATTAACTTCACACCGACAAAGTGCCATCATTCTTATATACCTCGATTTATCTCTCGTAGCAATAATAAAATCTGTAATTTACATGATAATGTTTTTTTCTTTAAAAGTATAACATTTGTTTAAAAAAAACAACCAAGCAAATATATTCTGCAGCCGTAAGATACACTTCAATTTTACGTATGCATTACACGCGCGCGCGTGTGTCTGTGTGTTGCCTGATTGCGTCAATGTAACGTAAAATAACATGCATTCCGGTTATATATGTATATGCTGAACAGGGTGTCCATAAAGTATCACCAATTCGTAAAGAAACCGACTGTAGTCAGACATGAGTGTGAGTTACGTCGATACAACTTGGTCGAATCAAGATTTGAGAGGCACGTGCAAAGTATACGGCGCCTGTCTCAGCAACTCAAAGCGACCTTACGTCACATCATCCCAACGTCAACCATTCTCATGATGCCCTGCTGCAGTGTAGCAGGGCATTATTTCTAACGACAACAGCAGCAGCTATCCATATTATGGGTTGCATCCCTTTAAATAAACCTGTACGACGCTCCTGGGGATGTCAGAGAGCTCCGTGGGTGGTTTCCCCCAAATCTCGGTTGTGACAATTTCTCGAATGCTTTTGGTATGTTCCGTTTAAAGTCACTCGAAGCTTTTCGGCTTAAATAAAAACATATTAAGTATAGGAATATTTATTTTTTTGTTTTTTACTTGAGCCAAGGGACGGGAAAAAGCGTCCGAGGAGATGGAGTGATGAAAATCAGCTCGTGCGCAAATTGTTCCTGTGAATGTGTTTACATTGCAGCTTAGCTTGAGAGACGGTGGCCGCTTGGCTGTGCCTTCATCTAGCTGTAGATCGATCAAGGCAGCTGCTGCTAATGATGATGATAAGGAGTACGTTGCAAACATTTCGACAGCAACTTTCACACCGCTGTCTCACTGTCATCGGTTCACAATGGATGATATAACTTTAGGGACATCTTGTGACTGAGTTGAAACAATTAACTCAAAATCTCCGCTGCTTTGAATCAGCCGTGTCGAAGAGGTGTGCGTGTGTGTACGTACTGTATATTCGGTGTATATAAAACACAACGCATTCGCCATTAACACTGTGGCCTTAAAAAAAACAACTCTAGAATAGGCGACGTTTCAGGCAATGGCTCTTACGCATAACACGTGCTATGAAGAATGCCCATTGTTCGGAACGTCACGTATATATATTTTTCCACAACGTTACTGATGAATGTGTTAAGTTTTTTTAATGTGAATTGTGATTGTGCCCCACTTGTAACGCAATAGAAGCAGCATCGACAACTCGTGTGTGTGTGTGTGCGTGTATGTACAGGGTGGCCCAGAAATGAGGACACAGGGTTATTTCATACATTTTAACACTGGCATTAGAACATTTTTATTGTTTATTATTTAAGTAAATTCGTGAAATAAATATTACCATTATTAATATATATTTTCCTTCTTTTTCAGATGACATTTAACAATGGAAAGAAAATTGGCTAAAGACAAACGAGTTCAATTATTTCTTACGTATGCTAAAGAAGGCAGCTGTAATCTTAAAAAAAAATATACATAAATTAATTTCAAGATACAATTCATAGATCATGCATTAATGTTAGCGCGAGTCAGTTTGACACAGTTGTTAAAATAAATGAAATAACCCTGAGTGATTGTTTTGTTCAAATAAATATAATAACCCTGCGTGTGTCCTGACTCTTGGCCACCCTGTACACAGCCGTATTGCTGTGTACGAGGACGCCAGCCAGCTCTGGTCGTCCTTGCAACTTTGTCTGCAGCGTAAACAACAACAACAACACCCCCCCCAGTGCCCTGCACCGCCGAACATCGAAGGATATTGCCGCGACATACATCACGGCGCGGCCGTACAAAGTGTGAAACAACAACAACAAAAACGGCACCACGAAGACGATTATGCTCCGTGGCACACCTACGTGTGCACGTATGTTGAGCTTATTTCGCACCCTACGCAGCCAACCATGCTACAGTCGAGGCAGCGCATAATGTCTCGTGGAACGTTTTCCCGGTAGGGGTGGGGTACGTTGCGGGGTGGGATGAGTGGAGGGTATTTTCCGGAGCCCAGCCCTGGACAGCTCCGACTGAATGTAAATTCACACCCCCCCCCCCCCGTACATCATCATCATTATTTATTACACGCACAAACACGCACAAACAGCACTGGCGCTGTGTATAGCTCGGCGGTGTGTGTGCGCTAGTTTTCACTGGTGTCAACATTGCCATACGTGAACGTGCGCATCATTATCATCATCACCACCACCACATTCTTCCCACATGTATAACGATGGCTATGCAGGTGCAGGCGACCACACGTGCCCCCCCCCCCCCCAAAATTGGAAGGAGGGCGGACAAATATGGTGGTGGGGAGGGAGCTACAACCAAATAAAATAACAGCAATTTACAAAATAAATCTAAAGTAAGAAATATGAAGCCAATAGACATGAATCTATTTCAATAGTAAAAAAAAACCCCAATATGTATCATGTTATTTTTAAATGGAGCAATTACATCGATGTCGCTCAATAAACTCGTCACAATCATTATTGTGACGTCGCTGTCAGTAGGAGGGGCGCTGTAGCCGAAGGTATTGGGAATCAGAAAGACGAAAATCCGAGACATTCATAATCACCCCCACCCCCACGTCCCCCCACAATTGTAGTCAGATAGCCCCCCCGCCCCCACACACACACACCCTCCTCACGTAGTGTAAACCCGCGGCTCCCACGGCCACAGCTACACGTTGCATTCTCGATCCACTGCTGGATGAGGCTCCTCTCCCTGCCCACGCCGTGTGGGGTCGTGGAGCTGGCAGGGGTTTGTTTGACGATAATTCACTGTACACACACACACACAGACACACACATACATACACACACGTGTGTATGTATGTATGTGTCTCTTAGTTCCTTAGGCATAGCCTCTAGTATAAATAATGCCTGTACCCTGCCTGTTCTCGGGAGTTCGTCGCCAGTTTTACGACCACACCTGCCCCGAGTGAGTGATGGTGCCTCTCACGCCCACGCTCTTCGTTGCGGTGAGCGAGACGAAGACGAGAGACCCCGGAGTGGATGATGACGATCGCACGGCGCGGCAAGTATCTTCTTCTTCACACACAAAACAATGATCAAAGTTATTTAAGGCACCATCTCGAGAGTGTGTGTGTGTGTATCTATGTGTCTGTGTGTGTGTATCTGTGTCTGTGTGTGTGTATCTATGTGTGTGTCTATGTGTGTATCTGTGTATCTGTGCGTGCCTGTATGGGAGCGGTAGTGTAGCGGTTAGCGCGCTGCGCTGTGAACCTGGCGACCCGGGTTCGATTCCCGCTCACGGCCAACACAAGTGACGATTATCTGAACCGGTCCCGGGCCTCCCCTAGGTCGACTCAGCCTCAAATGAGTACCTGGTGCGGTGTGTAAACATTGCCACTAGGCTATATGGGGGATCTTTGTCTTTGCATGTCTTTGCATGTATAAACACACGTGTAATGCGAATGCATATACGCACACGTATTACACATACGCGTGTGTGTGTGTGTGTGCGTGCGTGTGTTCTAGGTTGACTGTGTAAAAAATATAAAAACCCATCGCCACTTGGGAGATAAAAGGCGACCAGGCGTGGTGCTGGCCACCCACCCCCTCGTGTGCCGTGCCGCGGCCTTCCTAGGCGCTGCTGCTCCCTCGCAGCACTTGCCCCGAAAGTATGTTAAGGCTATGCGGAGGGGAGGCATCTTTGTCTTTTGCGCATGCACATTCACTGCGACACGAACCCGGCCCACCCGAGTTCGACTGGCGCTCACAGCCAACGTCGGTCACGAATATTTTGAACCTGTCCTGGGCCTCCTCTAGGTCGACTCAGCCATAAATGGGTTTGCCTGGTTGCGGCATGTAAACACTGGCACGGGGGGGGGGGGGGGGGGGGGGGGGGACAAAGGCGGTCGGGTGTGATGCTGGCAACCAATCGATCTTTGACTAGCGCTCGCTCACAGCACCTGCACCAACAGTCTGTTGAAGGCTATACGGGTGATCTTTGTATTTGCTGTGCAATGTATCCACGGTGTTGATAGATTAGGGGTGTACACAGATGTCCAGCATAACTGGACATCTGTGTAAAAAAATAGCTTCATAGCTCATCGGATTCCTCCAGTATAAATATTATGATTCTGTAACTTTCTCTACTTTACCAAATATTCCTGACAAACTGAACAACGTCGACTCTGTACACACGCGACTCGATGCGTGAACTCGCTCATCGTAAGACTTAATAACAATCGAAGATCAATAGCTGTGACGGTCACACTCCCAATATGCATACTCTACACAAATATCGTTGCAACATGGGAGGCAAGTTGAAACACGTGCTCGCTATAACATACAGGGTCAAGCACATACAACAAAGGTCCGTGTAGCCTCCGAAAAACTGTTGGGGGCAAGTGCTGTTAGCGAGCACCTAGTAGGAGCCCGACACGGCGCGCGAGGCGGAGGGGGTGGCCGGGACCACACCCGGCCGCCTTTGTATCTCCCCGCAGTACTGCTATTTACACAACCACACCAGGCTATTCGAGAGAGAGAGAGCGAGAGACGCGCGCGTGCGCGCGTGCGTCGACAATACGCAAGGAGCAGTCAACGCAACAAAAAAACACACGCGGACTCAAAAAGCGACCTCACGTCATCGGTTGCCGCTCGCTCGCTCGCTCGATCGGTCAAATCGGTCGATGGGCCCAGACATCCGTCAAGACTCCCGACCGCCCACGACCGACGGTGGCAGCGCTGAATCGGGCAGGCGGGTGATGAGAGCTCGCAGAGTCCCCAGCTCTCGCACGAGCTCGTCGATCCTGCGCCTCAGTTGATCGTTCTCGTTCGAGAGTTCCATCGCCCGGGACGAAGTCTCCAAGGACCTGCGCTTGGCTTTGTCACGACTCTTGCGCACCGCGATGTTATTCCTCTCCCGCCGCAGCCGGTACTCGTCGCTGCCCTTGTCCAGAAGTTTCTTGCAGTTCTTCTGGGACTTGGAGCTCTGCTGTTGCTGCTGCTGCTGACGCTGCTTGCTCAAACACGCGCCGTGCACCTCCCCGGGTTCGCGTTTCATCCATGCGCGCGATTCGCTCGCAACCGCGTGATGTTGCTGCTGTTGCTGCTGCTGGTGCTGCTGATGATGCTGCTGCTGCTGCTGTTGTTGGTGGTGGTGTTGGTGGTGGTGGACGGACTCTAACCTGGAGTCGGTCACCTGCGGGACACAGCCAGCGAAGAGCTGGTGCTGCGCTTGCAGAGCCGGGAGCACCTGAAGCGATGGCAGCGGGTAGAGGTAGTCGTAGGCCGACGCTTGCGCTTTGGCCGCTGCTCCTCCGTGTTCTCCCGACTTGGCGAACAACTCGGCCAGGAGCTCGTCGCTGTACAGCTCGATCCCGGGGCCGGCGGACGACGAGGGCTCGATGTAGGAGCTCAGGTCGATGGAGTGCTCGTACGCATCGCCCAGGTCGCTGCCCATGCCCTCGTCCGCCTGCAGACCCGACCCCGCCACGCAGAAGCCCTTGCCCAGGAACGGTCTGTCGAGGTCCGGGTAGAAGTTGGCGCTTTCCATCGCACGGTCGATATTGAAGCGTTGCTCTTGTTCGTTTGGCGGTTGTCGTTGGAGTCCAGAGACGACGAGAGTAGTGGTTGTTTGTTATCGCGCGCTCTCGCCCAGATACAGCAGCGTGCGGGGGAGCAGGACGGTCTGGACACCGTTGCGCGTCGATGATGAGCGTACGGCGTTGCTCCCAAACGTGGTCAGCAAAGCCCTGCTCACTCTCTCTCTGGTCCTGGTCGCCTTGACGGTGTTGGTGTTGGTGATGAATGGGGTGGGGGTAGGGATGGGGGTTAGTTCCCGAACCAACTTGTGAAGGAGGGCTTGGTGGCTCCGATTTGCAGATCGGCGGCTCGGCAGCTTGAGTTATCTGTTATTTGACGTTCACCGAGTCTCCTTCGGTGGCGCCGCACGCTGCCGCTGCGAGACCGTGGAACGAGTTGCGCTGCAGACCGTGCCCGTGGCGCGCGTTTATATAGCGGCGCATTTAAATATCCGTGACGTGAGCTGTTACTACGTGAGGCTCGGCCGCTCCCCTTTCTCGACCACCACCCCCACAACCACCGCTTGTCTTTTGCCGTCTTCACGCGAACCTTCCCCTCCCTCCACGACCCCCACCACCACCACCTCCTCCTCCTCATCTCTCTCTCGCTTTTTACTCCCCCAGTGTTCATGTACTCTTAAGTGCGCGCGCGTGTTTCATTGTAAGTCTTTCATGACGGCTGCTCGTACAGTAGTGTGCACTCCACCCCCCTCATATCACCTCTCCCTTCATCCCCCGACCCTAAGTTCTTATAACCTTGCTTAATTTGCAACGTAAAGTATGATCCCTTTATCTGTTACGCTGCGTTCAACAAGCGCTGTTTGTTACAGGCCGCTCGGAGTTTTAGGCGTGTGGGCCTGGAGCTCAGCAAAAGTAATAAAGCAAAAAGTTTATTTTATTTTACCAGGTAAGGCCCCCTGGGTGGGGAGGGGTAGACCCAGGACTGGTACAGATAGCACTTGTCATTGATCTTATCCGTCGCCGGCAAACGAACTAAGTTCACAGAGTTCAGTTCACTTACCACTGAAAAACAAAAAAATATATATAAATTAAACTACATTTTATTTTATCAGATGAGGCCCACTGAGCTATGTAGTTTTTTTTTCTTCCCAGAAGCGACCTGGCCACAAATGATAGCTAAAACAAGTGGCTTATCATGTGGACATTTATAGCAGCCGAATACTCTAAACGCGTGTTTCTAAATGCGGAGGGAAAAACCGGAGGACCCGGAGAAAAATCCACGCCACCACGTGGAGAGAGACATGCAAACTCCAAATATACAGCAGCAGGCGTCAGGGTCGGGATCGAACCCACGACCTCCTGCATACCAGGCGAGACGGTGGCGCGGTCAAGTTCACGCACCCTTTAAACAAATGTTCAGCGCCGAACTGAACGAGTGATGTCTGCCGTGCTTTCTGCTCTCGTTTATTAGCTCTCAACTTCTACGCGTACGAGACGGGGACATCTCTTAAATTGAATAAATGTGTGAACAAAAACATTATTTTTTACTTCAACGATCTTGCAGGGTGTACGATGCGGGGATTGCTACTCGCTACTCAGTTATAAGTGAATCTTAAAGGCGTGAGCGTGCCTAAGGCTCAATATGCAGATTAGAATGTTGCCAATATTATTATTCTGTTAACATTAATATTTACGGTAATTATGTATTAAAAAATACATTAAAAAAATAGATCACTCTTCACGAACTGTTGTCATCATCTCATCAACAGCGACTGTCTGTAACACTTCGAGATGAAGACCTCAGGCTGCTGTTCATTCACCAGTCTCGGCCACGGACGGATACTCGACGCAGAAACGCAGAATTGGAAGCTCTCCCGATGTGCGACTGTCGTGGTCACCCAGCGCCGTCACCATGGAACGCAAAGCGAGCGACTCGACGCCCGGTTCGCAAAGGCGGAGGAGGAATAATCGCAGCGGAATCCACGCGCACCTCCCATTAGCACGCACGTACGCGAATGTTGAACTTCTTTCGCACCGTACGTAGACAACCGTGCTTTAAGCGGAGGTGCGGGGGGGGGAGGGCAACACACTACGTACGGTGCGCCAGAAGTCCAACATACACACAGCAGCGACTCGTCTCCCCGCTACTCCCGACGAAATCATCTGGCTCAACCGCCGCGATGTAAAATCACAGCTGTTGGCTCTACATCAACATCAGCTGATTCCCACTTTCTTAAGAGTCAACGTGATGTCCCCGATGTGCGCTTGTGTTCCTCTTTGTCTCTGTTATTTCAATAAACAAAAACCCATCACAAACACGCTCGATTTTTTTTGCCAATCATATTATTCAATCTACTGCTGGATGCGAGTATTTTTCTTGCGAGTCGCGGCTTCGAGTTGCGAACACATCACAGCGGTGCCCGGTTTTGCGGGTTCGCGAAGGCGTGCGGGCATCATAGACGCGGGGGTGGTCACCGCATCATCGCGCGCTTTCAGATGCGCCTCTGCGGCCGTCTGGAACGCTCTTCCTTCCGATATATTTTGGAAGCCACTGGTGCCACTACGTACTTTTAAAACCAGATTGGCAAACTCATTTCTTGACAACTTATTTTTAGCACGGTTGGCTACCCACGGTGGGAAAGAAGTTCAACGTACATACGTACATGGAGGGAGCATAGTGCAGTGCTATACAACAAAATAAATGTGCTGCACTGGTCTCTGCTGCCAAATACGTATCCCCGCAGTGGCCTGTATCATTGCATGTCTGGCGATCGCTTATCAAAGCACGATTCAGACTCAAATCCTCCTGTTCAGCTTCTGAGGTTGACGAGATCGGGTCCATGCCGTGTGATTTGGTCATAGGCAACGCCGACTTACCATCGCGCTCTGTGCGGGTTAGGTGTGTGCGATTTCGCGTATACGCGGCTCAGCTCTTTGTACTCAAAATTCGCTCTATGCTGTTTTAATTCACCGTACATGCGGCGATGATGTCGGTTGTGGGACAAAATTGGGTGTGTACTGTGTGTAGCGTGTGTACTCATGTGTGTGCCGTGTGTACTGTGTGCGCTAGTCGGGAGGCAGCTGTCTCTTCGTGCGGTTTCGCTTTGTGCGCCCCCCAATTTTCTTGGAAACGCATCTACCACTCCCACCACCGCCACCGCATAGAGCGAGGTGGGGGAAGGGATCTGTATACGCGAGAATTGAGACCGCGAAAGGACCGAGTCGCTCGCAGTTTGCTTCGGTTTGTCCGTAACGTTTCTGCGACACTAACTCAAGGCGGCGGTTAACAACTCGAGCATTGTTTCTGTAAAAGAAAACAGCCCTCTTGCTCGCCACGCCATCTCCCCCAACAACGACCAAACATCAACTCCGGGCCTCTCCCACGCACAGAGTACACAAAGCGTGAACACCCTCTCCACACCCCACCCCCAACATCGATTCAGACCTCGTGGTTAATATGAAAACATATAATGAACTCAAGTGAAATGGCAATTGTGTAGTAATGAATTATGATCGGGTTATTTATGGGCTATTATTGTGGATTCCGCGATTGTAGAATCCCCTTGCGCCGGTCGACGAGAGGAGTCTGAATCTGTGACACTCTTTTTTTTTTTAAATCGCGTCTTAAAAACGCACATGTTTGTGCTGCACGCTTCATGTGGCCCTAAGAGTCAGGGCCTTGTGCTGTAGCAAACACGAGTTTATGGTCATTAGTGTAATGAGCAGTGCTTAATGTCTGTAAGCCTTATTCTGTCCTCATTATAACCCTATGTTCATATAAACCTATTCATAGTATTGTAGGAACGCGGGGTACAATAAAGTAGGAGTATTATTATGGATAGACGTACATTGTACGGTAAACCACACGAAACTATTTGAAATATATTTTCTTTAAAACATTTTTTGCAGTTATATAGATATGTATTTCAGAAGCGACCTAGCCACAAATGATAGCTCAACGAAGTGGCTTATCGTCATGTGCAAATGTATAGCCGCCAAATGCTCGAAACGCGTGTTGATTCAAAATGTGGAGGGCAAAACCTGGAGAACTCTGAGAAAAATCAACGCGACCACGGAGAGAACTCGCAAACTCAAAATATACAGGCGTCAGGGTTGGGGTCAAACCGAAGACCTCTTGTATACCAGGCGAGGTAGTTAACATCTCGCCACCATGGGACCCTAGTAATCTAGTGGTAGCACTTTGCACTGACAATCTATGCTCCATGCCAGCCATTGAAGCGATCTCGAAAATCTCAAATGAGAAGTCACCCTGTGTATGAAAGTTGGTGTAAAACCAGGACATCAATCAGCCCGTGTGATAGAGACAGCTGAAGAGATGGCAATGGCTTCAGAGATGGTGGGAGCATTCATCCAGCAGTGGATAAACCATCACCGCTGCTGCTGATGATACGAGGGTGCCAAACGTGTCCAAATGTCGCGACTCAACGTGTCAACGTCCCGTGCCCCGGCGTGTGGCGGCACGAAAGATCGTCGGTCGGTCGCCTCCTTTTGTTCGCGTGGGATTGTCTCGTCGGGTCAGAGCGCCACCGCTCGGCGGTCGGGCAAAGTCACTCGCGCGTGATCACAATGGGGGCGGCGCCCGCGAAAACTTCAAATCTCGATGAATGTTTAAAGGCAAATACGGCGGGCTCCTCTACTTGCGAACGAGTTAGGTTCCAGAGGTCTGTTCGCAAGTCGATTTGTTCGCGCGTCCAGCTTTACTCCTGTCGATTCCAAACGTGTTGTACGGCGTGTACACTAAACATGAAGAATTACTTTGAAAGTTGTATAATATTTTTTAGATGTAGATCCCACTGTTTTCTTCACGTTCTGCAGGTGTAGATGCCACTGATTATTCATGTTCTACAGATTTAGATGCCACTGGTTCTTCATGTTCTACAGATGTAGATGCCACTGGTTCTTCATGTTCTGCAGGTGTAGATGCCACTGATTATTCATGTTCCACAGATGTAGATGCCACTGGTTCTTCATGTTCTGCAGATGTAGATGCCACTGGTTCTTCATGTTCTGCAGATGTAGATGCCACTGGTTCTTCATGTTCTACAGATGTAGATGTCACTGGTTCTTCATGTTCTGCAGATGTAGATGCCACTGGTTCTTTATGTTCTGCAGATGTAGATGCCACTGGTTCTTCATGTTCTGCAGATGTAGATGCCACTGGTTCTTCATGTTCTGCAGGTGTAGATGCCACTGGTTCTTCATGCTCTACAGGTGTAGATGCCACTGGTTCTTCATGTTCTGCAGATGTAGATGCCACTGGTTCTTCATGTTCGGCAGATGTAGATGCCACTGGTTCTTCATGTTCTGCAGATGTAGATGCCATTGGTTCTTCATGTTCTGCAGGTGTAGATGCCAGTGGTTCTTCATGTTCTACAGGTGTAGATGCCACTGGTTCTTCATGTTCTGCAGGTGTAGATGCCACTGGTTCTTCATGTTCTGTAGATGTAGATGCCACTGGTTCTTCATGGTCTGCAGATGTAGATGCCACTGGTTCTTCATGTTCTAC